TAAGTTTTTTAAAAAAATAAGGGACCCCTGAAATTTCTGGGAAGTTTTCTTTGATAATGACATTTTTAGGATAGACTAAGATGATAGCATTTAAACACTGACGTGGAAAGTTGCTGTATGTCTTTCGTTTGTTCCAGGGCTCTCACCTTCGTCTATCCGTTTGGTGCCACACTGAGCGTCATGAAGCCGGCAGTCGCGGTTCTGTCCACCGGCTCCGTCTGCTTCCCCCTTAACAGACCCATCCTGGCTTTCTACCACGCTAAGGTACAGCCTTTCTTGGCAAGAAGCCGATAAGCTCTTAGGATTATTGAAATAGTAAAAACTACTTTACCGTTTCCAGTGAGAAATGGCCCTGTATTTTCTCACTGGTTTTCATAACAATACTTTGATACAGTAACGAGGGCAGTGGAAGTGGGTTTATCAGACTGGCTCAGGGCAGGACAGGCTTCAGAGCTGCTTTACATAGGGTTGCTATTAGTCACAGGTGACTCAACGGCACATAATAACAAAATCTTGAATAAGGTTTGTGTTTGAACAAGTATTTTTAATGCCCACATTTTACCCATATGGAAACTGAATTGGCCAGTAAATGATAATATCAGGGCTTAATCCTAGCTCTTAGAATTCCAGATCCAAAACTGTGCCACTCTTACGCAGGACTGCCTGTGCTGTAACTCTGTGTGTGTGTGTGTGTGTGTGTGTGTGTGTGTGTGTGTGTGTGTGTGTGTGTGTGTGTGTGTGTCGTGAAATAAGTAGAACAAAACATTGGTCCTTTCAGCATCTTTATATGAACAACTTAGTGACATTAATTACATTCGTGTAGTACAACCATCTCCGCCATTTCCAGACTTTTTCATCACCTTTAATAGAACTTGACATCTTCTAGCAGTGATTTCTCTTGAACTGTAACTCTTAAAATTAGTATTTTATTACTATCCATTTAGAGAGTCAGATTATAGGGTCTTATCTCTCAGTGTAAAGAGAATCCATTCAGGGGAAGTTTGAGATAAACCCATCTTGCAGCTATTAAAATATATCGGAACTGTGCTAATTTACCAGTTCTCACCCTGGAGACTCCTAGAACGAGGGAAGCAGGTAGTTCTAGAGGACACAGCCTCGTTCCAAGGAAACCCAGACCCAGTGCTTTTGAGTCATTTTCAACTCATGGACCCCGTGTGTGCAGTAGAACTGGATGCCGTGGGGTTTCCACTGAGGGGCCTTTTCAGGAGTAGAACCCCAGGCCATTTTTCTGAGGCCAATCTAGATCTGAACTGCTTTTTTTAGATATCCACCTGCTTTGAATATCAGCCTAGCATTTGTTTAACTGCCACTGGGGACTCTGGCACGCTCGTTGTGACCCCACTTTTCCACTGCCTTTTACTTTAGGTTTTAAATAAGGATTTAGAAGGTGATATTCAAACAGAACTCTAATAATGATCATGATAGCCTCTCCCAAACTCTTGAAATGGTCATTTCAAATTTAAGTGTTGTTGTTGTTATGTGCCATCGAGTCGTTTGCAACTCATAGCCACCCTATGTACAAGAGCCCTAAACGCCGTTCTATCCCGTGCCAACCTCGCTATCTCAAACACATTCATTTCCACCACTCCACTCACAGAATCGATCCATCTCATCGAGGGTCTTCCTCTCCTGTGCCGTCCCTCCACTCTCCCAAACGTGATGTCCCTCTCCAAGGACCAGTCCCTCCTTGCAACATGCCCAGAGTATGTCAGATGAAGCTTCAGAATCCTTGACTCCAGGGAACATTCTGGCTTCACCCTCTCCAGGACAAACCTGTTTGTTCTCCTAGCAGTCCATGATATATTCAGCACTCTTCAACTATCTCAATCTCTTCACCATCCATACTGATGCTGCCAATTGGCCCAGTGGTGAGAATCTTTGTTTTCTTGATATTGAGCCTCAGTCCATACTGAAGACTGCAGTCCTGGACCCTCTGCAGCAAGCGCTTCAGGTCCTCCTCAGTTTCAGCGAGCAGGGTTGTGTCATCTGCATAACGCAGGTTGTTGACGATTCTTCCACCAATCCTGATTTAGTGAATGATTTAAGATGTAGTAACAGTTGTTTACGTAAACTACCACTTATCACTTCATTGGCATAAAAATTTGATATTGGAACTGTAGTCTCATTTCTCAAGAGAGTTCACCTGGTTCAAGGGTAGAGTTTCATGGAACTTGAATTGACAGAAGGTAGTGATGTGGTGATGCTTCTAGAACTCACCATTTCCTGGTCATTTTTCCTCCTGGTGGGCTCTCAGGCCTTCCTTACAAGCATGGTGTCTCAGCAGGTTTGTCCCATAGCTCGTCTGAGGAGCTGAGTTGGTGATGCCACAGAGAGAGGCTGTTTCCCATCCTGAGAGGGGTAAGCCATACTGGGTGAGCCCTCAGGGCTTCTGTGTACTTGACCAGTGCCATTGCTTCAGGAGCCAATCATTATTCTCGGCCTTTGATTTCCTGGCGTAAATTTGTTAAGGAGAATGTTGATTCTTGGGTAGGTATCTCTTTTGTAATTATAGATAAATGCTTTGATAGGAAACTGAAGATAGTGGTAATTTGTCAGGGCAGACTAAATGGATTAAAGGAGAATCTTCATGTATTTAAAGTAAAGGAGATATGGCAAAGAAAACAAGGCCCAAAACTAAGCCTCCCTCAGCAGTAGTAGGAGAGAAAGGTCTTTTACTGTAACTGCCTGCCTGCATTTGCTTCTACATGTGGATTCACATCACCGCACTGCTCACTGAGCCATTTCCCCTTTTTATAAAATTCAGCTAAATTAACTTCCTGCTCTAAGTATAACTGAGCTATTTTCAATTTTCAGTATTTGCATATTTCAGTAATGATTTGCTATTTTTCAGTTTTCAGTGCTCTTTGCTGTTGTTTTTACGTTAACGGGCTCTGTGACATCCCTGGCTTCGGTGGAGTTCTTTTCCCAGAGCCGTCGTGGCTATGCCTAGTCTCTCAAAGAGCTGGAAAAACTGGTTTCAACCTGTGCTTTTAGATTATACAAGGTTTTCTCATTATAAAAGTGATACATGCTCTTGTAGAAAAATTTGAAAGTACAGAGGTGAAGAAAAAGCCCCGATGTTCCCACAGTACTATTCCCAGGAGTGCACACGACACTTGGGTGATTTGTCTCTCACTTTTTCTTCTGCCTCATTTTTCTTATTTGCCACATATCGCAGAGTCTAACCTAGGGTAGCTGTGCACATGATGGTGTCTTCAGTTTGTAGTGCTCTTCATTTTAAACCTGATTTAAATAGAAGGGAGCTCTGATGGCTCAGTGGTAAGGAATTGCATTGACAGTGCAAAGGTTTGCAGTTCAAATCCACCAGCTGCTCCACAGGAAAAGGATGAGCAGTACTACTGGAGGGTCAGCTGTGAGTCACTCTCCCCCTCAGTGGTGCATAACAACTTAGAAGAGAAGCCTTTTTTGTATTATAATCATTTATAATCAATAACTTAAAAAAGGAAGGAAAATCTGTTCTTCTTAATATTTTTTCTGCAGTTTAACATTTAGATTTATTTTTAATGTTTTTGTGAGTGTAAATATAAAATTTTGCCTTTTTTTCTGGTGTTTAAGATTTCTTCAATGCATATGTTAGCAGTTTTAGCAACAGTGTGTAAAGGAATGTACTTATTGTTATATTGTCTCGTATTTACTAATCTGATATGCAAAAGTATTTTGGTTTGATCTGTTTGTTGTTGTTATGTGCCATTGAGGACCCTGTGTACAAGAGCTCTGAACCTTGCTTTATCTTTAGCCAATTTCATTTACCCCCATTACTGCAGTCACAAAGACTAATAATACTGAATTTTTCTTTCTTACTAATCAGTTATTTTTTTGGTGAAATTTTCATGCTCGTAACGTTTTCTTATTGGCTTTTAATGAAATACTGTTTCTGGTATTTGTAATTGTCTGTGACCTCTTTATATGGCCTTTAAGTAGTTTTTAATTTTGCACAGATTGTCTTGAATTTTTTCCCTTTAAGATTACTATTATTTTCTGGGGGGTGGGAGGAAGGGACATGGGAATTGTATACTAATGAAGGAATTCTTTTTTTCTCTCTCTTCGGAGGGGGAAGCGAGCTGGTGGGGAGGGGTGGGCAGGGAGAAAATTGCAGCAATGAATGAATGGAAATCCAAAATCTCTGTAAAAAAAAAATTTAAAAAAAAGATTACTATTATTTTCATCTTTAAGAGATCCAAAAATAGAAAAATGCTGTGGAACTCAATTCATGTTGCTTTTGTTAAAGTTACACAAAAAAGTATTAAAGTGTCTAAAATGAGAAGCAGGTTAGAATGTAACTTGTCATAGACATTTCTAGGCTGTTAAAATGTGGATGTGAGTTGCCATTTGATGTGATTCTGATTCTACTATTTGGCAGAAGGATGCATGCGGTGCATTTTGGGTTCTGAGTTTCTGACACAGCTTTGATTATCATTGATAGGGCCAAGATGGGAAGCTGGCAGTACTCGGTTCATGTCACATGTTCTGTGACCAATATTTGGATAAAGAAGAAAACAGCAAAATTATGGTAAGCTTTTCTTCTTTCATCATATTATTGTACAATGTAGGCTTGGTTTTGGTGTCATTGATATACTCAGTCCTTTTGATTATAATGGTATTGTTTGTTTATTCATTCAAAACTGTCTGCTCAGCCCTGCTGTTCCTATGCTTCTCACTTGGGATACAGTGTTAAATCAGGCCCGGTCTCTGTCTTGATTAAGAGAGACTGAGAGAGAAGTTAAGTCCAGAAGATGGGGAGGAGCAAGCTCAACAAGAGCCTTTCATGCAAAGCAAAGGAGCTTGAGCTGTGTGCTGAAGGCTACCTGGAGCTCATGTGGGTTTGTAGCAGGTATAAGGTAGGATGGAAGCGGCGGCTCAGAGCCAGGTAGCAAGCTAGTGAACTGGATGAGACAAAAAGGGACAAACATCCAAATAAAGGCAGTGAAGGTAGGCCCGGAGAGGAGGGCTGATGTGATACTGTGTGTGAGTGTGTATGAGTGATGCTGGCAGGTGGAGGCATACAGAGCTCACTGATTTGTGCAGAGCTTTATGATGATGTAATTTTGATCACATCACCAGAAGAAGAGGTTCCCAGTGACTTATTTTTTTTTATGAAAAGAAATTCTTTCAGCCATGAGACTTAATCTTCTGTAAGATCAGTTAAGATATATTCTTTCTGTGAAATCCATGTGAAGATTGCCTCTGGACACATCTGGAGGGAGCTCTGGTAGTCTGCAGGTAAGGAATTGCACTGCAAACCCGCAAGCAGGTGGTTTGAATCCACTAGCTGCTCCATGGGAGAAAAATGGAACATTTCCTCCATGTGATTTACAGCCTCTGAAAACCCCCTGGAGGGTCAGCTATGAGTCAGTCCTGACATGACAGCAAATAACAGCAATATTGGACACAACTGAAGAGATCGATATAAACTCACTTCTTAAACTTTTAAGTTCAGATTTTCTTCAGCACATAACAGAGGGGATACTGCAGGATTGTAAACAAGTTTTACTAACTTTTATTACATGTTTAGGGTGGCCTAAAATAAATTACAGGTCTCTAATGTTATGCTTCTTCACTAAATATCACTAGGGTGCAGGAGTGGCATCCACTTCCTAAACTACATACCTCTGGAAACTATGAACTTTGATAAATGTCGATAATTATAGAAAACCTTCAGGTCTTTTGTTCATAGGGCCGCTATGAGTCGTGCGTGACTCGATGGTAATCAACAACAGCATTACGCCTCTTCACTAAATAACACTAGGGTAGAGAAAACCTAGCAGTTTTCCTGTGTTTTCTCCAAGAAAATGCTGGGCTCTACTTTTTCAGATCACTAGGTCTAGTGTTTGCCTTTTGTATTCTTTGATTATTTAAATTCCCTGGTTCTGACCTGCATTCTCAGCTGTCTCTTAATCCCACCTTCCTTTCTTTTCAAATCCAGGATGTTGTTTTCCAGTGGCTGACAACAGAAGACATTCACCTCAATCAGATTGATGCCGAAGACCCAGAGGTCAGAGATGCTGTATTATTACCCCCTTCTTAACTAAAAAATAGATCTTGCCTCTCAGACCCTTGAGCAGTTCCAGGGGATTATGTCTCTGTCTTACCTGTAAAACAGGTAATAAGAAGAGATCCTTTTGAGGAATGAAGACTCCATTGCGGGGGAGGGGTGGGTGGTGTGGCAATTATAACAGAGTAGAAAAATGATATGATTAATTAGTTGTCCCAAACCTTTAAACTTGATAGCACTAGAGAAATATTTCTTTTAGAAATATGTAGGATACACACATTGTTTTTATGAAGAAACAAAGATTATTACAACTTAAGTTTTTCACTTTAATTTTGTTTCCTTTAGAAATATTCTAAATGTGTTTTGTTTAATAATTTATTGGACAAGGGAGAAGGGCAAAACCAGCTTTGCAGTTGTTGTTGTTGTGGTTGTTATGTGCTGTCAGGTCACCTGTGATTCATAGTGACGCTGTGTGCAACAGCTCTGAAGCCTACTGTATCCTGAGCTAACCTCATTGTCTCAGTCACACCTACTCCTGTTACCCCAGTCACTGAGTCAATTCATCTCATCGAGGGTCTTCCTCTTCTGCATTGTCCCTCTACCCTCCCAAGCACAATGTCCCTCTCCCAAGACTTTTCCCTCCTCGCAACATGCCCAGGGTAGTCAGGTGAAGCCACAGCATCCTTGCCTCCAAGGAGCAGCCTGGTTTCACCCTCTTCAGGACAAACCTGTTCTCGTAGTAGTCCATGGTATATTCAGTACTTTTCTCCAGCCCCACAGCTCGAAGGCATCATTTCTCTGTCTGTCATCTCTGGTCATTGTCCAGCTTTCTGATGTATAGCACATAATTGCCTTGGAGCTTTGACGTAGGAACTTAATAACCTGCATTGTAGGTCTGGCTCCACCATTAGCTCTTTGACCTTAAGCAGGTATTTTCCACGTTTTTTGTCCCTGGTTTTCTCATCTGTGCTATCTATTCCACATGGTGATTTTGAGTCTCCAGCTAATAGATATGAATTTACTTATAAGAAAACTTGCAGGAAATGCTCTATACTTAAAAGATACTTATTTTAACATTTGTACTTCATATCAAATGTTGTACATTAGATAAGTCATCTTATTTCATCCTGACAACAGTAGTGTGAGGTAGTTGGTCTTAATCCATTTTTTAGAGGAAGAAGCTGAAATTAGATTACATTCTGCTCAGATAGCAAGTAAATGCAGAGGCAGGACCCAACCCAGTTCTCCTGATTCTGAAGTGGCTTAAATTTCTCCTGAAAAGTGATGTATGCCCAAGAATAAAAAAGTTGGGATGTAGTAAGTGATTCTCTTTTCAGATCACAGGATCCAACTCTTGGAGGGGTGTGTTTTTGCCAGCAGCTGCCAGTCCTAGTTAGTGTCGTGAGTCGGGGGAAGCAGCATTGAGTGATGCTGTCTGTTGTAGCCTCTGTCATTCCTGCTTCCTAGTTTAGTAATAAACTTTCGAGATCCTTGCTTAAATTACTATGTGAGTGAGCCATTATTAACATCCAGGTCAGGCTGCTGCGCGACACTGGACCAGTTCACAAAGAAATGTGGAAACTGATGGAAATCCAGTGGACATTAATGGTTTTAAGGCTTTTTTCTAGAACTGTGCAAGTTTGTATATACCCAGATTTGAGAGCATGAAGAATGTCCTTTTTTATCCTAAGACTCTGGAAAATAGAGTACTACTAGACCCAATAACATTCCAAAGTGAAATTTTACATCAGATTATGTTATATCAAGATGATTTAAAACCCAGCCGAAGGCTCGATTTCAAATACTGTTTCATAAAAGAAAGTGGTAGCTCAGTAGTGGTTCAGGAATTTATCTTGCCACTTTTAACCCCAAAATCTGTCATGAAGACATGAAATCCATTGGTCCTGGGAGCTAAGGCCTTGTTTTCAGAACATCTCTGCACAGAAAGATAAGGGAGTCAGCCTCTTGGCGGTGACTGATACCTGTCAGGTGTTTCGGTGTTTGTCTCGGCTCAGTCGGTTCAGCAGTTTCTTCCACCTTCACCCACTGTCATATTAGAGGAAAATAATCAGATATTGTCAAGAAGAGGGCATTTGTTTTTCTTAAAGATCTTGAGAATTTGAACATTTCTGGCCAGTGGGATAAAGAAATAGGTAGGTCTGTTTCTTTGGACTTTACATTGTCCTTGTAACACTCAGGCCTATTTCCTTAGGTGCTGGAGCTAGCCAGTGTTGACCAATATGTTGCAGCTGACTTGAGATGACCTATTTTTAAACTACTAACAAGTTGGCTTTATTGGAAGTGAAGGTGGAATATAATGTGCCAATTAGGAATAGCCTTTTTTAAAAAAAAAACACATTTTTTTAAATTTGTTAATTTTAATGAAAGTTTACAGAGACTTAGGTTTCCAGTCATTCATTGTTGTACTATTCTCCCTCCCCACCCCCTCCTCCTCAATTCACTCTTCTCCTTGAAAAGAAAAAGAAAAACTCTTTCATTGTTATACAGTCCCTCCCCCCAAGTCCACTCTACTGTGCAGCCTTCACTCTGGACTTCTGTAATGACAAGAATACCCATTCATAGGTCCCTTTTAAACAGTTCTCTCTGTCATCTGTTTCAAGGCAATATACATCATTCCTCCCCTCCTTCTCTGTCTTCCCTCAACCCCAATGTCAGTCCCGTTTTATAACAGTGGCCCTATGCAGTATTTGTCCTTTTGTGACTGAGATATTTCACTCAGCATAATGTCCTCCAGGGTCACCCATTTTGCATAATAATTCATGAGTTCCTTGTTTTTCACTGCAGCATAGTGTTCCATTGTGTGAATATACCATAACTTCTCTATCCATTCATTTGTTGATGGGCAGTTGGGTTGTTTCCAGCTCTTTGTTAGTGCAAACAAGGCCAAAGTAAACGTGGGTGTGCATAGGAATCGCCTCTTGTCAGCATGCATGTGTTACATTTCATGTATTTTCTGGTACGTGGTAAGTCAGCAATCAGAAGCACACAGAGTAAAGTTTTCTACTTGCCCAGCTACTTTGTTCCCCTTCTTAACAATAAGATTAGACATAGTAGTTTCTTACATGTGCTTCCAGAAATACATTATGCACATGTAAGTAAATGTGTTTGCACTGTCCCGTTCTCCTCTTTTGCATAGATGACATGATTTTATGCTCTGTGCACAATACGTCTTCATGATTATTCTAAATCTGTACATATTTCCATATCTTTTGAGTTGGTTTTCTTTTTAAAACTGTATATACATTGTTTGGATGTATTGTAATGTGCTCAACCAGTCTCCTATTGATGGACACTTGGTTTTCTTCATCCTTCTCTGTTACCAGCACGTGACAGATCTCAGGGACTCTTGGCAATGTTGAGGTGTCCTTAGCTAGATGAGAAGTGTTGGGACCTAGTGGACACGTGGAGAGGCTGACTCTGCTGGCGTCACAGGTGGGGCGTACAGGAGAGAAGGCAGAGGATGTGGACCAGGGGCCAGTGGGTGGATAGCTGTTGAAGTAGAAGCCTCTGAGCCTTACAGTTGCTTCCATTTTTCTCAGTACGATAGAAATGAGGTCACCAGTTAGAATTGAAGAAAGGAAAGTACGTGTTTGAAATGACAAAAGGAAGTTATTGCCTAGCAAAGTGAGCAAGTGAGTAGGCTAGGGAAGTGTGTGATTTCAGAACATTCTCAAGCTCATGGTCGTGGAATTAAAGGGAGACCAGGCAGCATGGCTGTGTGCTTTTCTCCAGCTGTGTTGTGTGTACACTTGTAGGGTAATTGGAGCGTTGGAGTTGGCCACCTCTGAACTGTATCCAGGAGCTCTGGGGGCACAGTGATTAAAGTGCTCCACTCCTAACCAGAAGGTTAGCTGTTTGAATGCATCAGCTTCTCCATGAAAGATATGGATGTTTGAGTCAATAAAGACTTACGACCTTGGACACCTCAAGGGGCAGTTCTGTTCTCTTCTGCAGGGTCACTGTGAGGCGAAAATGTCTCGACAGTAGTGGATTTGGGGGGATTATCCAAATGAGTTCAGTCCCTCTTGCCACATAGGTGGATGTTGGAAAGTTTAGTTGTCAGTGTTGATGAACAATAAAATAAATCTCTTTTGCAAGAGAGGGTCAGTATTATGGATGTTGACCTAAGACAGTGGCGATATGACAGAATAAAAGCTTGGTCCTGCCCTGCTGAAAGGAACCCTCTTGTGGCTTTCAGATTTCTGACTACATGATGCTGCCCGACACAGCCACCCTCTCAGAGCGACTCCGAGTGTGTCTGCAGGAGGGCGATGAGAACCCGCGGGACTTCACCACCCTCTTCGACCTGTCCATCTACCAGCTGGATACCACCTCCCTTCCCAAGGTCATCAAGTCAGTACCCACAGCTCTCTGAGCTGCACCTACACTCCTTCTGAGTGCTTGGTTTGAAAACATGAGCCTGGGGACGGGAGTTAGGGTCACAGTGGATGTGGCATGCAAAACATGACCTCATGCAAAACATGCACTTAGACTATGATGTCAACCAGGTCAGCTTGCAGGTTTGGGGGAGGGGAGACCCATGCAGAAGAAACTATCTGCAGTTACTAGTCCCAGCTATGGTCCCGGCTCTGTGCAGGCAGACACTTGGGATGGTGGATTCATTCTTGTTTGCCTGAGGCTGTCTGGTTTTAGAACAGAGAGTATCACCTCCCAGGAGCCACCTCAGCCAACTGGGATGGTTGATCCCCTCTACAGGGCCTCCACTGTTACTTCATTCTTTAAATAGTCCTCTGGGTTACCAGCTTCATTTCTAAAAGAGGAAATGAACGGTTAAAGACCGGACTTTCAAACCATTGTTATCTTTTTTAATCTGCTTTTTTGTTGACATTGTTTTCCATCCCTGAGGACAAGTAACACGTTTGAACTCCTTTGTCCTGAAGACATAGCTTCTTATCATTTTTAGACTCAAGGCCTGGACCAGACTTGTAGAAGAAGGACTTCATTGAATCTGTGTTTTGCAAAACTGTTGCATACAGCAGTTTATACAATTAATTGGAATAAGGGAGCTCTGGTGGTCTAGTGGCAAGAAGCTGCACTGCAATCCCAGAGGTACGCAGTTCGAGTTCACTAGATGCTGTGCTGGAGAAGGAGGGGCAATCTCCTCCTGTACCAGTCATATCTGATTTGATGGTACACGCACACAAAATAAAACAAACAAACAAACAAATAAAAAAACACCAATTAAAAAAAATTGGAATAAAAGAAAAAAATAGAGGTGGTGAAACCAGTGAGGAGACTATTACCATAGACCAGGAGGGTTGAAAGGATGGATCTGATGATAGTTAGCTGTGGTTTTGATAAATATTTGGGGAGAAAGGACTTCTAGGACATGAACCATGAGAATGTGATGGAGAAGTCTGAGGCAGCAAGCGCTGCAGTTAGCTGCCCCTGAGAATGAGCTCTGTGTTGGGTACTGGTAGTCTAATGTGGCTGAGAGATGACCCTGTGAGGTTGTGCAGGTAGAACGGCTAGCTTAGCGGTGCAGATGACCAGGTAGTTAGGGAAGCAGTAGGGGAATAGAAGGACACACTGGAGAGGGAATTAGGCTAGAGACAGAGAAGGCTGTCTGATGGAAGTCCTGTGACAGAAGCTTGGAGAAAAGTAACTAGAGGGTGAAGGACAGTGCCCAGGACAGTGCCCAGGGGAGGAGAGTCTACAGAGCAAAGGGCAGAGGAGCTAACATGGAAGCAGGGTATACCTGCCATGGAAGGGGTCCCAAGGTTCACCTTCTGCTTTTCTAACCATTAACTATCATCACTACTCAAGAGTTTGTCTTTGTTTCCCACTGGCCTGCGCACCTGAGGATGGGAGCCATGTCTTGTTTAATTCTGAATCTAAGGCAGTACAGTACAGGCCACACCCTAGGGAAATGCTCTACTTCTGATCACGCCTGTGGTGAGAGTAGAGATTGTTGAAGTTCACCTTTAAATCACAACTCTGGCTTATCAGATCGGGGAGGATCTTTGCGTGCTTCCAGGTAGATCCTTGTTGTTGCCATCATTGATCATTGTTAGGTGTTAGGTTGACCACGACTCACAGTGATGCTGTGAACAACAGGTCTGAACCTTGCCCTGTCCTTCACCATTCCCGCATCTCTGATACCCTCCAGGGCATTGTGACACTCACTGTGTCAGTCCATCTGGTTGCAAGTCTTTATCTGAATCAGAGCTCACAGAAGGGAAATGTTGTTCATAGTTTTGGTATGAGCCGTAATGGCCTCTGGGCACCTCACCACTCCCACCGCCACCTGGCTGGCTGCTGCTGTACTCTCCTAGTGTGTAAAACTGCCTGGGACGTCAGAGTTACTTGGTTTCTATAGAATGAGAGAGCATGCAGATGTGCATCTCCTACAAAACCAAAACCAAACCCACTCTTTGATTCTAACTCATAGCAACCCTGTAAGAGAGAATAAAACGGTCCCATAATTTTAGCAGTGTTAGCCTTACAGAAGCGGAGCAGGTGGGTTTAAACCTGCAGCCGTTTGATTAGCAACCATGGTAATGAATAACTGGGCGATCAGGACTCCCTGCGCATCATGCAGATCTGTTTAAATGGCAGCAGCCGGACTGACTGATCTTTCTTTCTGGGGCAGCGTTTTTAAAACTTTTTTTTTGTTCCCATGGGTGTTTTAAAATATAAATTGTTACACTGAGGGAAAAAAATGCACTCAGGCCTTAAAATGAAATTGGAATTTATTCCAAAAAATTAAAGGGAAAGAAGTATATTTTAATACATGGAAAAATAAACTCATATAAATAAAAACTGATGAATTCAATTAAAGAACTTCTAAAAACAAAGATACAGATGAGAGATAAGGGGAGAAATTATAACACCATCCTTTGATTGCTTTGTCTTTGGTTAGGCCCTGAGGGGCTGGAATATAGGTGTGGAATAGGCTCCTGTAGGATAACACAAGTTTACAATGATTTTAGGGACTAAATACAGAGCTTTTTTAATTGTAATTACAAGTCTTTCAGGTGGGATACTAAAAACATCTCCAGGTGATGTTTAAACCACTCTATGTCTCAGAACTTCATGATGACCCTTTTGGTATCAGGAACTCATTTCCAGAAACAACTCGTTAAAATAAGAACTCTTTAAATTGTCAGGGAAACTTTGGATAAGGCAGGCTCCAAGATCCTTTAAAGCAATTAATTATACCTTTGTAAAAGAAATACTTCTCAGACCCACTTGCCTTTTGGTCTATGTATGGGCCCACATGAACACAGTTAAGTATTCTGGATATCTTATTCTTCATAATTTGTTATGATTCACACAGCTGAAGGCCTTTTCATAGTTTTTCTGGTATTCTTTGCTTTCAACCAAGGAAGCCTGTGAACCAGCAACGGTCTCTCTCTTCTGAATCCAGCTGGGATTTCTGGCAGGCCCCTGTGGATGTACTGCTCCAACTGTGTGTCGGGTTTTTTGCTATTGTTTTCAAGTTAACTACATGTGCTTGGGAAATTAATGACATTTTTCTATGACTCACATTCTGCTGGATGACCTTTCTTTGGAATAAATAGATCTGTTTCATTTTTTGGGCCACATTTCTTAGTATAGACAAATAAGAACCTCCAGTGCTACATCCATTTGTTGAAACATTTCCGTTAGTATTCTGTAATTCCTGGGAGTTTGTTTTTTGCTGTGGTTTTCAATGTACCCTTGCACTTCTTCCTTTAGAACTGTCAGTTCTTAATTATATATGCTACCCCCTGAAATAGGTGGTTGATCAGTCTTTTTGGTATAGTATATGTGTATTATAATACTCTTTTGTCTTCTTATGCTGGCCCTTTGAAATTCATCTGTTCACTCTTTTACTTAAACTGATGATGTCTTTTCCAGGAGTAAGATGAACAACCAGTGAAGGGAAAATATTGCAGTGATAGAAAAGATACAATGCTCTTTCAAAATCTGTACACCTTCTTTGGGGAGCTCTGGTGGCCCAGTGGCAAGAAGCTGTGTTGCAATCCCGAAGACACATGGTTTGAATCCACCAGATGCTCCTCTGGAGAAAGAAGGGCAGTCAGATCTGATTCAATGGCATACAAAAAGAAAAAAAAGGGGGGGAATCTGTACACCTTCTAAATTAATTTGGAATTGGCCTTAATAGCAAGGAGTTAACATGATATAAAAGGTAGAAGGGATTGCAAATAATGCAATAAAAACTCAAATAAGAGCTAATATGAATTCTAATCCTAGACGCGTTGTAAGGAATATAATGTTCCTCCAAACACTGTATGTATATGAAGAGCTCCGAGTTGAAGACCAGTACATTAAACACTGGATAACACCCCATAGCTGCAGCCCAGGAACAATAAAGGAAATAATTCATATAAACAGAAAAAAAATTCCCAGTACTTCTGCACTTGAATTCTTTACCATTTTAAAAGGTCACCTTTATAAAACAAAAGTTAGTCCAAAGGCAGTGGCAGTTGAGCCAGAGACTGCTGACCCTCAAATTGTCATATAAGTCACAATTTCAAATTAAGCAAAAATAACTGTAATTGTCAAAACATGGCATCACAGCCAAATCGTTAAAGCCATCAAAATAACCCACAATTATCATTCCATTGGGTAGAAGAAATTAAAAATGGGTTAAAGCTCTCATTTAAACAACTATTAAACAATGAAATTATTCCAAAAGGTCCAGTGGATAAAATATAGTCATTCATAAGACTAAAGCAGAAAGTAAAAATGTCCAGGGTTTACTGCAGGTCGCACGGGTGGTGTCAGGCTGGGGCTGGAGGTCTCAGGAAGAGTCTCTTCAGCGGTCACCTGCTTCTCTTCCTGGCGCTGGTTTCATTCAGTCCTTCAGGAAGCGCAGAAGTCCACTCAGTCTACTCTCTTCAGTAGAGACAAATGAACTCAAGCCTTGACTCCCTGTAATTTGGCAGCACAAGAATTTTATGAGTTTTTATAAGATTTAAATAAGGTCCCTTAAGGTTCAGGGGAATCCTTGAGTTGATGCCTTTTCAATAAATAGTCTTAATTTCCAGGTGAAAGAGGAGCAGTGTTTATATTGTTAAAAGTCTCTAAGAAACATCGCATGTTCTCCAACACAATAAATCAAATAGACTCAGATTACATTTGAAATCTATACTAGCTGCTGGATATGGCAAATTCATTGGCCAACCTATTACAATTGTGTAGTGTCTGGAGGATGAACATAAAAGGAAAGTGGGGGTGGGGTGGGTGGGGAAGAATCCATTCATTAGGACAAAAGGAAAGGCTCTCACATTCATTAACAGCAAAAATGGTGCTGGTAGCCAAGTTAATCCCATAGAGGGTGTATTTACAGATTTGACTTTTTCTACATTCCATTAATAATCTTCCATAATCCCAAAAGAGTGGAGGTGATAAGTCTTTTTAAAATGAGGGAGATAGAACGGAGAGCCTTGTTACTCATCCTATATGAGTTTCTGTATTACTGCAGAAGACAGCTGGGCTTCTCCATATGGGTGTGATATTTTCTAGTAGCTTGAAAGAAAGACTCCAGCCTCTGGGATTATCTCCAAATTTCTAACCCTTAGTAAGCTGACGGAACATATCAGTGTCTTTAGAATATGTGGCCCCTACCATTTCTGGAACTAACAACAGGCAGCCTGGGACAGGAAGCTATTTGGCATCACAGAGTAGCTGGTGGATTCAAAACATGTCCCATAGTCTCTTCTCTACTGTTAGAATACATACCAGGTATCTCAGAAGGCTCTCTCCTTGTTAATTTTTTAAAAAATTATTATTATTTTGTGTGTGTGTACCGTCTAATCGGATCTGACAGGTACAGGAGGACATTGCCCCTCCTTCTCCAGCAGAGCATCTGGTGGATTCAAACCGTGCACCTCTGGGATTCCAGTGCAGCTTCTTGCCACTAGGCCACCAGAACTCCCTTCTCCTTGTTAAGTGACAGTTCCATTTAGATGGTGGTCTGTGATAAGAAGATGTGCTACAATCAGAGATGCACACAGTTTGAATCCACCAGCTGATTCTGTGGGAGAAAGACAGACAGTCTCCTCCAGTGCAGTTTATTGCCTTTGAAAACACAGCAGCATAGGTTGGAGCTCTGGTGGCCTTGCTGTAAGAAGTTGTGCTGCTACCTCAAAAGCATGTGCTCAGATCCACTAGCTGCTGTGCCGGACAAAGAAAGACAATCTCTTCTAGTGTGATTTACAGCCTCTAGAAATCCTTAGGAGGTTAGACATGAGTTTGTTTGGACTCAGTGGTACACAGCCACCACCCAGTGGGTTAACAAGAGAGGACGCATTTGCTCCCCACAGGCAGCATCTTTTCATGTCAGAGGCAGTCTGCCATAACAGGTACAGAGGACACAATCCCTGTCACCACAGTGATCAAGTCGGTCGGTTTGCTTGTGCACTTTAAGTGGCAGAAAGTCACTGCCACACTCGGGTTAACTACAGAGGGCCACAGTCAAATAGAAGCAGCACAGCCACGGAGGAGGAGGCTTGAGGACAACTGAGAAACAAAATGGGCTGTAAGATTCAGTACCCTTTTTAGAAGCCCGATAATGAAGCTTTCCATTTTTCCTTTGAGGTCTCAATAAAGTAATACTGTGATAGTGGAGAAGATTCCCAACGGGACCATTACATTACCTGGAATAACTCATTTTATGCATTTTTCTGTAAAAATGCCACACCAAATTATTTGATGAAGAGCCACACAGTATGGTTGCCTGGATATGTTTTGTCACTGGGTCTCATCTTCATCTCTGCTTTTGTCTCATTAACACAGGGCTCATGAACAGTTAAACGTGAAGCATGAACCTCTGCAGCTCATCCAGCCTCAGTTTGAGACGCCACTGCCGGCCCTGCAGCCAGCTGTGAGTTGATGGGCTTGGGCTGCCCTCTGTAGAACCTCCTTGTTTTGCATTTCCTTACCAGCCAGGCCCTTCACCGTGGACCTGTGTGTAGAGAGAGCTCAGACACAGGGTCACAGTTCATCTGCCTGCATAAAGGCTGACTTTAGACTTGAACTCAGTTCAAGAAACTAAGTCAGGATAAAGCCAAAACAGAACGGGGCGAACCTAGAGGCAAGCAGGCACCCTTGAGATATCTGTACCCTTTCCCTATTCAATTTTAGAATCTGAGTATTCTATGCTTTTATATAAGAACTAGTTGCTGTCGGACTTTAATGAGCACATTAATTATATTTCAAGGTTGCAAATGTAAAACTGTGTTGTTGGATATTTAAATTTATAAAGTAAATTTATTTCTTAAAAATACCATTATGATGGTACGTGATTTTTTAATTTGAAACTCCTGGAGAGAGACCAGCTGAGTTGAACAGGTGAGTGAACGGGCTCCTGTCTTCCTCAGCAGCGCACACAAGCCGCGTGGGCAGCACAGCGTAGGCGCTGCATCTTACACTGAGTTGCTGATCTGTGGGGGGCATGGACATCCTGTGTACTGAGCACCCTGTATTTCTGTAATGAAACTTGCTGGCATTTACACTGTAAAAACTGTTGATGATTAATTGGTTACTGGAAACATTTTACATGGAGAACAGTATGAACAGGTTTTATAGGCTATATAGTCTCATATTTGTTGTCATGTTCACCCTTCACGTACTCTTAAAGTTATCCCTATCTTACTGACAAACTCTCATCACATAGCTGCTAATTGGCTGAGTTGGTTTTATACAAGTGGTATACTGGAGCCAGTTTACACTGGTTTCTAAGAGTTGACTCAGTTGGTTCCCTGACATTTTGAAACTGGCTGTGGTAGGAATATGTACAGTACCAAAATCGGCAAATACTGCAGATCAGACCTTTTGTTTTCCTTTGAGGGCTGGTGGTAAGACACAGACTTAGCAGCCAGAGTGCTTCTCAGAAGCAGGGCTGGTGAGGTTTGTGTCACACACTTTGGGCAGGTTACCAGGAGGGCCAGTCTCTGGAGCACATCATACTTGGTAAAGCGGAAGGGCAGTGAAAAAGAGGGAGACGCTCAGCGTGTTGATGGGCACAGGGACTGCAGTCCTGGCTCAGGCACAGACGAGACAGTGAGAAGGCTTGACCAGAAAGGGCTCTGTTCTGTTGTCCATACGGTTCCTTATGATTTGGAGCCAACTAGACAGCACTTAAAAATAACAGCAGCATTAATCGACATCTGCTTGACCAGATGCTTCCCTAAAGAGCACATGATTGATTAAATAAGAAACAAGTTGTATAATGAAATATTCACACAAACCTAAACCCCAAGCTTTGCACTGTTCAGCCGAGTCATTTAGCATTGGTGTTGGTGAGCCAGATTAGTGGCTTGGCTGGTTCCTGCTTGTCTCATGAGTAGGGCTGGAGGAGGTGTGGGGAGTGCAGGGTGGTCCCAGGGAAGGGGCTGTGTTTGCTTCTCTTTTCCCTGCATCTCATCACTGTCAGTTCTAGCCTTGGATAGCTCTTACAAAAGACCTCATTTCCTTTTAGGTTTTTCCTCCTAGTTTTAGGGAATTACCCCCTCCGCCTCTGGAGCTCTTTGACCTGGATGAGACATTCTCCTCCGAGAAGGCACGACTTGCTCAGATTACCAATAAATGTAAGTACATTTTTTTTTCTGTGTATGTGTTGCAAGGGGTTTTATTTGTGAATTTATGAACAGTGAGTACAAAATAAAATTTTTTATTTTATATAAATTATATTCCCAGATTTTCCTTGAGGACAGGAAAAAACAGTAGTGAGCAGAAGCCAGAGATCTCTGCCTTAATCCCTGCAAGCTTTTACTTCTCATCTCCTGAGTGCACATAGGATGACTCCAGAGCTGATTGGCCACTTAACAAATTTGGGTCATTGGTCATAGAAGCAAGTTAATTGGGAGCTAGAAAAATGGTAGCATTCCAAGAGCTCTCAGAGAGGGTTCAGTGTCCTTGCCATGGGAATGAGGAAACGAGGCCTCGAGTCACACAGCTCCATGGTGAGTGGGACTCTTAGGTCTTCTTAGCCACTGTTCATCCTGCACTGCCTCCAACACAGCCAACGAGCCTGAGCCCATAAAATCGGAGGCATAGACCTAACTGCCCTCTGTGAGGCACTGAGTGATTCCCACTCCTGGGTATCTAATCTAAGGAGGGAAATGAAAGTACAGTTACATTACTTACTACAGAATAAAATTGGGACTAACCTTACTGTCCACTAGCAGGGAAATGGTAGTAAACTGTGCCATGACCAGGGAGAGATATGTAGTCATCGTAGCAGAGATAATCACAAATGAAACAAGACAAAACTGCATGCACAGGAACATCGCAGCTCTGGAAACCACATCAGTATGTGGCCAGAGACCAGAGTGGACAATGCCTAAAGGAAACGAGTTCATTGTAAACCACCTTTATTGAATCTGTTCTGTGGCAGAGGAGGGGCCAGGTGCTGGGCTAATGTATCCGCTGTCTCCCAACTGTGCGTAGGTACTGAAGAAGACTTGGAATTCTATGTCAGGAAGTGCGGTGATATTCTTGGAGTGACCAGTAAACTACCAAAGGACCAACAAGATGCCAAACACATCCTTGAGCACATCTTCTTCCAGGTGGTGGAGTTCAAGAAGCTGAACCAGGTACGGAGGTCACTGCAGTGGTGGCGTCATCCATAAACCGTACACTTCCCGTTTCATCCATTCCCTGTGCTAGAGCTAGTCCATAAGCATCCACCGTGTAAACAAAATAGACCTTGCCTGCCCTTATTTCTATTCTAGCTCAAAGAGACAGACCATAAATGACAGAATGTAGAAGTCAGTCACACAGTATACTAGAAAGGACAGGTGCTTAGCAATAAAAAGGAGCAGAGCGTAAGAGGAGGAATGAAGTGTGCTGAGTGTAGTGGCAACAAGAGTAGTAAACGGGGAGGACCTGTGCCAAGATACTGGAGCAAATAGTTGAGGGTGTTGAATAACTTGGCCATACAGGTAGGTGGGAAAGTGTTCAGGCAGAGGGAAAGCTGTGCAAGGTCCCCAAGGCTGGACAGTCATGCCGGAAGCATGAGAAACAGCTGTGAAGCCAGGGTAGCTGGGACAGAAGGAACAGGAAGATGGAGGAATGGCTCGGGGAGTCAGCATCTTGTTGGAAAGCCTCCCTGTAGTCTTAGGAGCAGGAATGTTAGGATTATGACTGATCTTGCTGCTTCCTTTCCATTGACAGAATTTAATTTTAAACAGAATGCCTAGCCAATGGGAGAATCAAGTGGCTCCAGTTTTCAGAGAATTTTTTTGTATTATTATTTTAAAAATCTTAAAATATATGCATACTTTCGACCCCGAATATCTAATCCTCAGAATCAGCTATCTTGTGGTTTTTTGGTTTGGGTTTTTTTTTTTTCATTTTTTAAAAATTTTATTATTTTGTGTGTTTACCGTCAAATCAGATCCGACTGGTACAGGAGGAGATTGCCCCTCCTTCTCCAGCAGAGCATCTGGAGAATCAGTTATCTTAATGAATAAACCTTAATAATAATAATGTGTGCAGTTACCAGTAGTGAACTACACTGAAGGAAGTATATTAAGTAAGTTACATTCTATCCATAACACTAAAAATACTTAAGGACCTTGGAAAAGATCCTAACAAAGGAAATGGAGGAGGGGCAGGCTATAAAATAGTGCACAGAAACCTCATTTTTCTTTGCAAAATGAACATTTTATATAAAACCCCACCTTTAGCCAGAACCAGCTCATAGGTGACCCTCTGTTGGGTTTCCAAGGCTGTAAAACACACAGGAGGTTGTCCATCTTCTTCCTCAGGACAGCTGGTGGATTTGAACCACCAGAAGTGAGGCCCTTGGTTTAGCAGTGCAACTCCCTACTGACTAGGCCACCAGACTCTTTTCAAATGTATAGTGTTTCAGGGATTTTTTTTACTATTTCTTTAATGAATATTATATCAATGTGTATGGGGAGGAGTTTGGTGAGATTTTTGTGTGTGTGTTTTTCTTCTCCCTAATGCAAACAGGCTAAGACTTGTCAAACCTAAGGGGAAAGGCCAGTTAGCATATGCTCCTGTCCTGGAAAGGGGTGGCTCTGCTAGGTCTTCACTGGCCAGTGTTTACTGCTCACCTCTTACATGCCAGGCCTATAGCAGTGAATGAGATGAAGGCAGCCCTGGCACCGTCCAGTGGGAGGGACAGAAGTATGTGGAGAGCGACAGTGCTTTATATATATTTTAAGTGTCACAGACGAGTTACATAGGAGGCCTGGGAACCGAGAGGTGAGGTACTGTTAGGACCGCTCAGCATTGAAATGTGGGAGTGGCTTAGGTAGTTTCCCCACAGATCTGACCTTGGTGGCCTGGCTGGATGGGCCCTCAAGGCCAGGGTGAAAAGTCTGGCATGGTCCATGCCAGCAATGCCTTCAGCTGCCACTTGGTATTTTCCATGATAATAGAGACTGAGCTCATTCAGCCTCAGAGGCTGTGTGATCCAGTAAATGGTGGCGTTGCAGAACCCCTAAACACAGCTGAAACAGGAGTTCACATCTTGGCCTTTACATTGAAATACTAAAATTTTATGTCTTCTTCCCTCATTCAGGAACACGATATTGACACAAGTGAAATAGCATTCCAGAGCAATTTCTGAGGACCGTGCCTCTTGAAGCATTTCCTGCCTCTTGATTTCTCTGCAAACTCATTTTAAAAATTCTTTAACTATCAGAATTAGCTATACACTCTTCCACAAATCTTGATGTCTTGTGCATTTTCTGTAGTGTTAAAATAGGTATTAAGATTTCTAAATTTATCATATTCTTATGTAAAATAAGTTGGCTTCTCATTTTTTTAATTAAACTTATGAGTCTACTTTTATGTGAGTCTTAGTGATGATTTTTTTTTCACCTCCAGCTCTGGATTTGAGTACCTTTTAGTAAAAACAACTGTTGTGCTTACTGTCAGCACTACACAGCTTTCAGGGGGGTTGGGAAGGGTGTTGGGGACATGTGCAATATACTGAAAACCACAGGAAATGAACCTTGAGGAACCATGAGTGGCAGACAGGAGAGCGCAGAGCTGCTGATGTAGTACAGTGGTAACAACACAGGTAGGAGGTGAAGTATGTGATATAACCCCACCAGGAAGTAATGAGAATGTGGACCATGGTACTGAGGTAGGAAAGGTGGCTCTTCAGACCGATCTGGTCTGGGCAATCAAGTCAGATTTAAGCCTGGGTGCTTCAGAGAACAATTAGAAAGCAAGATGAGAATAAGATGTTTGGGGTGGTAAGAGTCCAATTTTGCATTTAAGAGTTGAGATAATTCATAGTTAAAAAAAACTAGAACTACCTGACTGAGAATGAAAAAAAGATAAAGTTTGGGTTTTCCCATATAGTTAACTGAAGCTATGAAAATAATCTGTCAAGAAGTAGCATTTTAAAAAATAGCAGTTAAAACCTTGGGAAGAAAGGCTTATTCAAATCCTTCATTTCAAAATGACTTTTGACCTTAAAGCACTGTTCACAAACTTCCATTCTCTCACATGCTCAGGTCCTATTTATTCCGCTTGGCCATCTAGAGTCGTATCAGGGGAGGGAAAGCCCCTCTGCTCAGACAGCACAGTCTAGGGGTCTGCTGAGAAATAAGCAACCACAGAATGGAACTTTGGGAAGTACTGTGGAGGGCTGTCTTTTCCAAAATCGTGTTAAATAATTAACTCCCTACCCATATGCTTCTCATGACTTTGACGCTTCTTCCACTTAGAGGCACTCTTATGTTCCCTCCTATATGCAATATGGCTTCTGAGGTTGGATCGTAACAGGCTAACTGCTGCTTTCTGGTCTCTTGAGATACCCACCTTTATAGTTATAAGCCTCCATGTTAGAAGTCCAAGGCCATCTGTAGGTTTTATCATCAAAAGCCTGAGGTCCCAGCATGTACGAGTGTCACCCACCAGACATTCCTGCCCCCAGCCATGAAGTCCTCCGTCCACGGAGTCCTCCCAGCTGAGGCCTCAGACATAGTGGAGCAGAGACAAGCTTATCCCTGCTGCTTCCTTTCTAAATTCACAACGGGACATCTGAGACTCCTCAAGTTATCAGTGTCTAACACTAATGTCTTTCATTGCTGTGTAAATTTATCCTCAGCACGTTGAATCGCCTTCACTTGCTCCACATGCAACTTTCAAATCATGGGAAAGCCTTCAGACTTTTTTGGCACTAAAACAACGCTAAGTAAAAACCATAAAAAGGTGGAGCGTTGATGAAAAAGAGGAAGCGCCTCAACCGCATGGAGTGACACTGTGAATGCTGCGTTGGGCTCAGGTATGTCAGAAATGGTGAAGACAGCACAGGCTAGGAGGGGGTTCACTAAGAGTCAAACTCAACTCGATGGTGTTACCTGACAAGAACTATATGGACCTGTTCTGACACAGCTATAAATGACACTTAAAGACACAGGGCAACATCTTGTTCATTGCCTTGCTTGGTGTTAGGTGCCGTTGATTCTGACTCAGCGACCTGAGGAACAACAGATCTGAATCCTGTGCCATCCTTATGATCTCTGCCACATCTGAGCCCACTGCTGCAGTCATCCTGTCCATCTACCTGGTTGAGAGTCTGCCTTTCACCATCCTTCCACCTTCTCAAGCATAATGTCCCTAAGGAACAGCCTCTCCTAGCAACATGCCTGTAACCCTGGAAGTGCCTATATTTTGTTAACAATAGCTAGAATGTCTACAATTATAAGACAGACTTTTTGGATTTGAATCTAGTCCAACTTGAATTTCCAAAGGGGAAATTGAAGCCTAGAGGCAGAGAAGCACTAACAATTTGCCTTCTAACTTGGAGCTGTTCCCAACATTCTCTGAATCCAAGTTTGCTGGCCAAGACCTGTCTTACCAAAGAAGGGGATAAAGAGTTCCCCTTCCCCTATGGGGACAAGGATGTGGTTTTCCTTTTTAAATTTCTTATAAAAATTTTGGAGCTTATTTACAAGTTGAAAGCATACTGGCATAAACATCGGTGTACTACCTACTTTTAGTATTTGTGTTTTACCTGTATATAATTGAAACATTTAACATCAAATTGCAAGTGTCCATTCACCTTTAAATACTTCATCATATAACCACACTTACCATTCCTAAAATATCTAACATTTACCGCAATTCAGAGATCTCTTGTTGCGTAGTGATAAGGAACTGTGCGGCCAATCCAATGCTACTTGGTTTAAGTCCACTGGCTGCTCCACAGGAGAAAGATGGTTAATCTCCTCCAGTGCAACGTACTGCCTCTGAAAACCCGCTGAAGGATCAGGTGAGCCAGTTCTGACTTGATGGTTCATAACAACAACAATGCAATTCATTTGTCTCCAAAGTATGTTTTTACAAACACTCTCTTCTTAAGCCACCATACACTCAAGATTCACATAAGGCATTCAATTCCTTTAATCTCTCAATGCCCTACAGTAATGACACTGACTATTTGAAGAAACCAAATTAGATGTCTTGTATAACAGCTCACATGCTGGATTTATCAGATTGTTTTATCATAGTATCTACTGTGTCTTTATCTCCTTTACTTCCTGTATAATGGAAGTTATGTCTAAAGGCCTGATTAACTTGTTGGCAAAAATATTTCACAAGTGATGCCATATGTGCCAGACTGGCCCTCTGATTGTGAAATATAGTGTAACTGCTTACTTAAGGTAATGGACAGTAATATGTTTCAATTCAAAGATAAAGAATGGCTCTTTAAAGAGTTCTTCCATCACCTTAAAAAGATAGGAAACTATACTTAAAAGAATAAATCTCAGGAAGCTCTGATGGCCTAGTGGCAAGAAGCTGCACTGCAATCCCAGAGGTATGCAGTTCCTGTACCAGTCAGATCCGATTTGATGGTACACACACCCTCCCCCCAAAAAATTTTTTTTAAAAAAAGAATAAATCTCCATGCTTATGTGATACACACATACTTTTAATGTAAGCCTAGTAAATACAAGAGAGCTCTGGAGGCTTGTTGTTTAGGTGCTGTCAAGGTACACGTGACTGACAGCGATCCTAGGAACCGGTGACCTGAACCCTGCCCTATCCTTTGCCATCCTCATCATCTCCTACACACTAGAGGTGGCTTAGTAATAAGGAATTGCACTGCCATGCAAAGGCACGTGGTTCAAATCCACCCACTGCTTCATGGGAAAAAGATGGGCAATCTCCCCTTCCATGTGATTTACTGCCTCTGCACACTTGCTGCAGGGTCAGCTATGGGTTCGTTCTGACGGAACAGTACAGAATGACAGTAACAACACTAAATACCTAAATAACACGCATACCCCTGAGATACTAGGGGTTCAATTCCAAACTAGCGCATTAAAGCAAATATTGCAATAGGTTATGAAATTGTGGTTTCCCAGTGTATATAATAGTCACATTTATGGTATATTTTAAGTCTGTCAAGTGCAAGAGCATTATTTTAGAAAAGAACAATGTACATACCTTAGTTAGAAAATACTTTATTGCTAAAAAATGTTAACCATCATCTGAGCCTTCAACGAGTCGAAACCTTTTTGCTGGTGGAGGGCCCTGCCTTGAAGTTGACGGATGTCGAGTGATGACAGTAGTGGCTGCTGAAGTCTGGGATGCCTGTGGCAATTTCTTAAAATAAGACAGCAATGAGGCTTGCCACATTGACTGATTCTTCCTTTCATGAAAGAGTTCTCGGTAACACGCAATGCTATTTGTTAACATTTTACTCACAGTAGAACTTCTTTCAAAATTGGAGTCAATCCTTTCAAACCCTGCTGCTGCTTTATCAACCAAACTTATATAGTATTCCAAATCTTTGGTTGCCATTTCGCCAAGGGTCACGGCATCTTCACCTGGAGCTGACTCCATCTCAAGGAACCACTTCCTTTGCTCGTCCATGAGAAGCAACTCCTCGTCTGTTAAAGTTTTTTCATGAGACTGCAGCAATTCTGTCACATCTTCAGGCTCCACTTCTAATTTTAGTTCTTTTGCTATTTCCACGACATCTGCAGTCACCTCCTCCACAGAAGTCTTGAATCCCTCATAGCCCTCCATGAGGGTGGGAATCAACTTCTTCCAAACTCCTGTGAGTGTCGTCGTTTGGACCTCCTCCCATGAGTCACGGATATTCTTAATGGCATCTACAATGGTGAATCCTTTCCAGAAGGCTTTCAATTTACTTTGCCTAGATCCCTCAAAGGAATCGCTATCTATGGCGGCTACAGCCTTACGAAACGTATTTCTTAAATAATAAGACTTGAAAGTTGAAATTACCCCTTGATCCATGGGATGCAGAATGGACGCTGTGTTAGCAGGCAGGAAGACGACATTGATTTCCTTGTACATCTCCATCAGAGCTCTTGGGTGACCAGGTGCATTGTCAATGAGCAGTAATATTTTGAAAGGAATCTTTTTTTCTGTGCAGTATTTCTCAACAGTGGGCTTAAAATACTCTGTGAACCACATTGTAAAGAGATGTGCTGTCATCCAGGCTTTGCTGTTCCATTTATAGAGGACAGGCAGAGTAGATTTGTCGTAGTTCTTAAGCGCCCTTGGATTTTCAGAATGATAAATGAGCATTGGCTTCAGCTTAAAGTCACCAGCTGCATTAGCCCCTAACAAGAGAGTGAG